CTTGTTCTTGTAGTAACAGTTGGTCTGCCTATGTTGTTTTATATTTTTCCTGTAGGTCTTTCTTTCAAGAAGTATCTTCTGTCCTTCTAGCCACTCCAGGTTGGTCTGCTTGTCCTTTCAAGTGGGAATTTCCCATCTCTGGAGATGGGAGAGCATTGGTTTTACACTCATTGTTTCATTGCAATGATTACAATCTCCTCTGTGCATTGTTATTCAACAGTATTTGCTTCTATTCCCTCTGGTTTCTTTTTTTCGGAGTTAGTGATGTACACAAAAATACTCAAGAATGTATAATCATTTAAACAACCAAAGGGCATATCCTGAAAGCCTGCTTCCTGGCCACTAGCACACAGCCTTTCTCTTTCCATGAGTCTAGAGTCCTCATCTCTGCCTCCATTTCCGGTTGCCGTTGCTTCTCTGGATAGGGTCCTATATTCCACTCATGCTCTTCTCCCTTAATGGTCCTAGGGTCCTCTGTTCCTGGACTGTAAGATTACCTACTCCCCCTATATGTTATAAAACTTCTACCTTTACACTTGTAACAGTCACGATTATTCATGATAACAGTTACTCACAGTTGAATCTTAAGAATCTTATCCCCATCTCCTTTCACCAGACCCATCTAGACAAGATGAAAACTATTCAGTGGGGATTTTACCTTCCTTTGCACACTCTGAAACTAAACTTCCTCTTGAAAACTTGTAAGTCAGTCACTTCTTGCCTTTATTGCCCCCCCCCACCACACACCCATTTTAGGTAGCCAATGTCTAAGTTGCCCATCCCTTTCAACCCTGAATACAGAGGAGATAGGAGTGATCCTTGATGTGAAGACTCCTTCCCTCACAGTTGGTATTTTGAGCTACTATATCCATAAATAAGGAGCTCTGGTAGTGTAGTGGTTATGATTTGGGCTGCTAACCTCAGGATTGGCAGTTCGAAACTACCAGCTGTTCCGTGGGAGAAAGATGAAGCTTTCTGCTCCCATAAAGATTTGCAGCCTCGGAATCCTGTGCACGGTCACTATGAGTCGGAACCGACTCCACAGTACTTAACAACAACAACATCCATAAGTATAATTCAAGTTCATCAAATTGTAGCAGTTTACACCAGATCATCATTTTTACATTCAATAAATTATATGCTTTGTTTCATTTCAATGATTGCAATCCGCTCCATGTAACATCAGTTATCCCACTTTCTCCCAGTGATTCTTGTTACCATTCCATTTACTTCCTCAACCCTTCTCAATTTTGTCCTTAGGTAAATGCTGTCCTTTTGATCTTGGATGGTTGATCATTCCATGGTGTGCATACCTCACTAGTATTGTTATCCCCACTATATACCAATCTACTGCTTGGCTGAAAACTGAGTCACAAAGGTGAGTTCAGTTCCAGACCTTAAGGGTGACCAAGAGCCATCGTCTCTGGTTCCTCCAGTCTCTTTCTTTCTGACCAGTAAGTCAGGTCTTTTAAAATAATTTTGAGCTTTTCCCACATTTTCTGCCCTCTGTCAAAGACCTTCTAATGTGATCCTTTTAGAACAGTTGGTAGTGGTAGCCAGGCACCATCTAGTTCTTCTGATCTCAGGGGGATCATGGAGACTGACCTTCACATGTTCTGGTAGTCCACTGGACTGATTGACTCCAAGCAGCTTCAATTTTTTTTATCACTCTTCTTTCTTCTGCACAGGGGGGAAGACGAATACTTGCATCTTAGATGGCTGCTCATGAGCTTTTAAGATCCCGGTCATTACTCACCAAAGTAGTATGTAGAACATTGTGTTTGTCGAGTATATTAGGCCAGTTGACCATGACGTCCCTTGAGATTATGATCCTGAGCCCCTAGGCCCAGCAATTGATTGATTCCCTCAAGGTGCTTGATAATATAAAGAAGTTTTCATAATTTTGTTCCCTGTATGTTCCACCATAAGGAGCTCTGGTAGCGTAGTGGTTATAAGTCGGGCTGCTAACCTCAAGGTCAGCAGTTTAAAATTATCAGTCATTCCGTGGGAGAAAGATGAGGCTTTCTGCTCCTGGAAAGATTTACAGCCTCAGAAACCCTGTGCAGGGTCGCTATGAGTCGAAACCGACTTCATGGCACATAACCTCCACCATGGACTTCTGGTGTGTGAACCACAAGGTTAGTGGTTCAAACTCACCAACTGCTCTTTGGAAATCCTTCTTGACAGCACTTAACAACAACAACATGCTCCACCACATTCATGGATGTGTTTGCAATATTGTTCAACACTTTTGAGAGCTCGTCCGCTGATAGCAGCAAGAGCAAGAGGACATCAGGGAAGAATAAACAGCATGGAATATACAGACCTAGATAAGTTGTCCTGGAAGCTCAGGATAACAAGGGAGGAGTGCATATTTATTGAGCCCCTTCTGTGTGCCAGGCATTGGTCAAGAATCATTTAAAATACTTTCTCATTTACTCTTTACTCTAAATGCATTCTCCATGATACTTACCAGGTACATAGGGCTCCAATGGATTATATACTGGAGGTTACTGGGAAGTAGCTAAGCCAGAATTCAAACCCAGCTCTACCTGAGTGTAAAGTCCATGATTACCCTCTTCAACACATCACCTCAGTGGGGGAATATCTCCAGGTGACAGAAGACAGAAGGGTAGACAGAGAGTAGGTAGAGTGGGTAGAGAACATGTCAATTGTTTCCAAAATCAAAAGATGCCTACTTTACAATTCCAGCCTTCTTAGTAAAATAGAAAGATAGAGAAAGGGGGAATAGTTCTCTTTTCACTAGATACTACTGTCCTTCCCCCTGTCCCCAACCCCTGTGCAGATAACCAGGAACTGTTACCAAGAAAATCTGGGTTATCCAGGGCCTCATCAACACTGAAGGTTGCATCTAAAGACAACCAGGAACCCACAACCATGCCCATCCTTCAACTACCTTCCATCTCCCTGTTCCTATCTCTCCCTTCCCCCCACCGCAACACAGGGTCCCCAGTTATATTACCAAAGTAAATCTCTTGTTCAAAGGCGTTGTCCGTGGAGTAGGCAAACTTCCCAGCTCGGGGATTCACCTGTCGGAAATGGTTCTGGTATGGGGGCTCATAGTTACTCATTTTTCCACTGACATCCTCAGCAGTCATATTGTTGCCAAGCACCATGTCACCTATCTGCTCTTGTGGCAAGTAACCAGGCAATCTTGATAGGGGTAAGAGAAGGGGAGAAGAGAGGACAAGTAAAAGATGAACACCCCCTTTACATATTCATTAGATCCACAGCTCACTCATCTCTCTTGTTAAGCTCAGCTCATACACACATAACTACTCAAAGAACACCTATGCTTAGTTATTGGCCTTGCCTGCCAAAGCCAGTTGAATATGGAGCTGCCAGAAGGCCTACCTACAGCCACTTCCTCTAATGGTGTCCTTGCAGCCATTAGGCAGAATGAGAGAGTAGCCACGCTCTCAGAAATCCTGTACCGGGTCACCATAAGTTGGAACCAACTCGATGGCACTTAACAACAAAAAACAACATCCTTAGAAGTCACACGTGCTTGGGGAAGGTACCCTAACTCCTCTGTGATTTCACTTTATCAATTATATATGTGGTTATACACATTATATGAAGGGCTTCAAAAAGTTTGTGGAAAAATGTACTTAAAAGATAATGGAAATTTTCCACAAACTTTTTGAAGTGCTCTTAAATAATGTCTGCCCACCCAGTTGACAGTCTTCTTTGGATAGGTCCATGCCTTTCATAGTCACAGAATACCTGCTAAGTAGCAGGAACACAAATTCCATCTACTTTTAATTTGTTTTAGGGATCAGGCGATCACAATAGCTGTGTAAGATTTAGCTGCAAATAAGAAAAAAGCAAATGAGAAAAAAGCCATGCTACTGGTTGGTTTGAAGTCAATGGAACATTGGTTTCTTATTCAAAAATAGGCAGAACCAAATCACAGAATCTCTAGGTTTCTAGGTCTCTATGTCTCCCTTTGAGTCCTGGTGTGGCTCTGTGGGCTAATGTGCTGGACTGCAAGGTCGGTTTGAACTGCAAGGTTCAAACTTACTAGCTGCTCCTCGGAAAACCTATACAGGGTGGCTATGGGTTGGAAATGACTCGATGGCACTTATCAATAAAAACAATAACTATGCCTGCCTTGCTCTCACCCTGGATGTATTTCTGGGAGCCCCTAGAAGTAACTGGATCAGCAGAATAGCTAAATTGCTGGGGAAGTGGTTCCTAACTGGGAGATTTTATTCCCTCAGGAAACACTTGTCAGTTAAGTCCTGTTGTGACACTGTAGGGTAAGCATGGGACTTCGGTGGTTCAAATCCACCAGCAGTTCCTCAGAAACTCTCTACAGGTGGCAGCACTTAACAACAACAACAACAACAACAACAACAACAGAGGCATCTGAAGGTACTACTAGCATCGAATAGATAGAAACCAAGGATGCCACTAAGCATTCGACAATACACAGGGCAGCCCCTCAAGGAATTATCCAACCTAGAATGTCAACAGTGCTAAGGATGAGAAACCTTAATGTTAAGGAGATCCCTCAGAGAGCAGGTTTTGGCAGTAGAGAACAGGTGGGGGAGATGGAGAGGACAGGAGGGTGAACCCACCCAGGAATGCCGAAAGGCAGGCCTGAGGCCTGAGTCCGTCTACCTGTAGTAAGCAGGAAGCAGCAACTCTGGCTTCTCTTTCTCCTGCGTGGACGGAATGATACTTTCACCCTCCAATTCTGCTGCCTCTTCTGCCTCCAGCTTATCCAGGAGTTCCAGGTCACTGGCGGAGGTGAGCTCATCCCGAATATGGCTCCAGTCATACTGCTGATGCAGAAAGCTCTGCCACTTGCTGGGGGGTACTCCGGGCCGTAGAGGACGCTTGTTCATGATCCACCGCGCTGTGCGCTTGTTCAGCCTTTGCAGCATGAGAGCCTCCCAGGCTCTGGCCTCCTTCTCAGGAGGCGGGAGCCAGGCTTCCCTCTCTCCAAGGTCCACATCTGGACAAAGTGGCAGACCCACCAGAGATGGTTCCCTACAGGAATGACAGATGTGAGGGTGAGGTTTTTCCTGGTTTGTACTTGCTAACTCTGATTTCTTCACCTTCTTTTTTTTAAGATTGGCAATGTTTTCTGTCTTCACAGCCTGGGAGGTGACCTCTGCTGAGGGACCCGAGGAATCGAAGAACTTGACGCGGACAGGTTTTTCAGGTTGAGTCTTCCGGATCCTGGGTGGCTGGATGATGCTGTCTGCATTGTAGAGGTGGTCAAAGTTGTACTGGCTGTAAGGAATGCTGGACAGTCCTCGCTGCTGTACCACCTCCTGAGAGAAGGTGAGGTTTGCAGCAGCCTTTTTCAAATACTGGTTCTTGAGGTGTGCACAGTGTCGCCGACCAAAGTTGAAGACTGGAGGCACACTGGCCACCGAGGCACACGCATCCTGGCTTTGTGCTTTCACGGAGCAGAAAACCATGCCCCATCCCAGCCGTGGGGGGAGTGACTGGTGGATACGGTGGGAGATAAAGGTCTTTCCCTTTGGGGTCTTACTCATATTGTTCCCAGAAAATGCTTCCTTCCACACCGCAGGCTAAGAGGCAGGGTCTGGAGGTGTGATCAGGACCTGTTAGGGAATGAGAGGAACTGGTGAGAGCTTGGGGGCAGCAGACATTGGTAACCTCATATACATGGCACTGTGGGCTAATGTGCTGGACTGCAAAGTCGGTTTCAACCACAAGGTCAGTGGTTCAAGCTCACAGCTGCTCCTTGGAAATCCTATACAGGGTTGTTATGGGTCGGAATTGACTCAAAGGCACTTAACAACAACAACAATTAATACGGGAAGATGATAACTTGGAAGGTGGATGTGGGGTCTGGGGCAGGGGAAACAATGTGAATTAGAAGAACAATAGGAAGAGATGGTGACAACATTCTAAATATTCCTTGTACCTTGTGTCAGACCTTTGCTTCCAATTCTCACACTTGTCACCAAAGCTCAGAAATTAGTCTCCTTATGAGAAATGACTGCTTTTCAATAGGATCCCACATTTGCAATTTCTCCTCAATTGTTTTTTCTCTGTTCAAAAGACGTATAGCATAAAGTTCAGACATTCAGGGTTATGATCTCATGAATATGACCCCAGTTTATGACCTTGTCCTGATATATACCTCTGCTTGAGTTAGGGGAGTCTCTAAGCTCTCCTCTGAGTAGTCTTCCTCCGTATAGTGACGGTTCCTTCTGTACCCACTTCATAATAGAGCCTTTCTTTCATAATCAACATACAACACAAATTCTACCCATTTTGCCAGGCCCAGCTCAATTCCTATTTTCTCTAAGAAGTCTTTCTTTTAACTTTTTATTGTGAATTCAGAGAAGTTTTACAGAGAAGATCATCAGTTTTACATTCAACAAATCATACACTTTGTTTTATTTCAATGATTGAAATCCCCTCCATGCAACAACAGTTATCCCACTTCTTCCCTGTGGTCCCTGTTTCCATTCCACCTACTTTCTTATCCCTTCTCGACTTTGTTCTTAGGTCAGTCATTCAAAATGTTGCCCTTTTGATTTTGAATGATTGACCATTCCATGGTGAACATACCTATGTGGAGTCCTGGTTTGGCACTGTGGGATAAAGTACTGGACCAAAACGTTGGTTTGAACCACGAGGCCAATGGTTCAAACTCACCAACCACTCCTTGGAAATGCTATACAGGGTCACTATGAGTCACAACCGACTTGATGGCATTTAACAAAAACAACAACAACATATACCTATTTACACTTTGGCTGAAAATTGTATCTGAGAGTGAGTTCTTTTCCAGACTTGAAGAGTAGTCAAGGGCCAGTCTTGGGTTCCTCCAGTGTCTTTCTGACCAGTAAGCCTGGTCTTAGTATAGATCAATGATTTTGAGTTTTGTTCCATCCACCTTTCCTCCCACTCTCCAGGACCTTCTCATGTGATCCCTTGCAGAGCAGTTGGTAGTGGTAGCCAGGCACCATATATGCTTTGAGAAGTTTTTTCTTGAGCAATCTAGGATACCATACCAGAATTTAGAAATCATTCTTACTTCATGCCATTTATTTAAACTTTTTTCTCATGACAGCTCACATACTAATATTTGGTCCTCTAAGCA